CAAAATGCATAATGTATGTATTGTAGATCCTTCTGGTCTTATGCTGACTTGTACTTCTACCAGCAGTCTATAAGAGGCCCTTTAAGGTTTTGCTCACAGCCCTTTCTCCCTTCGGCTCAGATCTGAGCACATGGGGGCTGGATCAAAGGAAAATCAGAAAGACAAGACAGTCACAAATCCCCCTGCCCTGTGGAAGCCTGAAACTCAGGCTTTAGGGCACCTCGTTGTGGCCGACTCTGTCTTTGAGGGTGTGTTTATTACCAGGAGCCTAGACACAGTTAAGAAGTCCCTGTGCTATACTGGGAAAGAGAAGCAATTTGGTAAAATGGCTCTTTGGGGGTATTGTATATTTTAAAAGGTCATTTTTTAAAAAGGCACTTCATTTTCGTGGTTCTGATTTCACATGATGAAAAGAGTCTCCCAGTTTTTTTTCTTTTTTTTTTTTCCCCAGTTTTTTTTCCACCCCTATCCTATGATCACTCAGAACCATTCCTCAGAGACAACCAATATTACATTTTAGTTGTGTATTCTTCCAGAAATATTTTATGCATATGATTGGTTGCAAAATGTATGTGTATGCATGTAATTGTCAGCAGTGGATGCAGTGTTGTTGAATGATTGAGTATACATTCTAAAGTGGGCTTCGTGGGTTCAAATCCCAGCTGTATCACATATTACCCACATGGCAAATTACTTAACTGCTGTCTGCCTCAGTCTCTCCAACTGCAAAATGGAGGTTGCTGCTAGAGTTGTTACAAAGATTAAATGAGTTAATATTTGTAAAGCTCTTAAAACTGTATCTGGAACACAGTAAGAAGCACCAGTTAATTTGTTACATAAATAGTGAAAAGGAGAAGAGAAGGAGAAAGGAAGGATTGTTTTTAACAAAATATCTCAGAGCTTATTCCTTGTTCTTTTACAGCTATGTGAAATCCCATTGTGTGGATAAGACACCAGGTGTTTATAAGTTCCCTGGTGATGGACAGTGATTGTCCGCTCTTTTGCTACTAACACCCACTTTCAGATGAATGATCTGTGTACAGACATTTTGTACTTGTTGACTGTATATTGGATAAATTCATTGAAGAGGAATTATTGGGTCAAAGAGTACATGAATTTGCAATGGTGATTTGCACACCAACAGTGTGGGAAAGGGCCTGTTGCCAGGATCCAGGGACATGACACTAAGAAGCTTTTTGATCTTTGTGTAAGTGATAAAATAAGAATCGCATCTCGATGTAGTTTTAATTCTCACGTCTCTTTATGATGAGGGAGAATGGATATCTTTTCACATGTTCCAAACTTTTCCTATTTCCTTGTCTGTGAACTGTCCACTTACTTTCTTCTTTTGTAGGTGGGCTATTAATTAATTAATTCCTTACTGATTTCCAGGACTTTGTTACATATTAATGAAATTTGCTTTTTGTGATTTGAGATAGTTATTTTCTCAAATATTTCACTTTATCTTCCTTGTAAAGAATTTATTAAAGATTCTTAAGTTTTTTGTCTGTAGTCTAATTTATCAATTTTTTTCTGCAATGGCTTTTGGGGGTCATAAAATAGCCTGCAGCTTTGACTACACTTACATGATAAAAGAAACTGACCAAGATACCAAAGTACCTTTTAGTATGTTTATGGTGTTATTTTGTTTTTGGGTTTTTTGGGTGACATTTAAATCTTAGCTCCACTTGAAATTTATCCTGATAAGATGTGATGGAACCAGCCCTCCCCACTCAATAATACATCTTACTCCCTTTCAGCTGGGCTCATCCTACACACCTCCACCCTTGGCTGTTCCACATTCTCTCTGATGGCTTTCTGTACCAATCCACCATCCCTGACTACGGCGACTGCCTCGTGCCTAAACTCAAGGGCATTTTCTTGAAGCTCGCTGGCAGCTGTGTGGCGTCAATCACATACTCCTTTCAGAGCAATCCTTCGTGTTCCTCAGGACCAGTTCTGTTTTCTCTGGACCTCCCCCTCATCCCCATGTGCCTGCTGCAGATAGGAAGGGCCCCGAGTGCTCTTCTTTCTTTGTGTGAGGCTTGGGAGAGGTGGTTTGATTCCTTCTTTGCTGATTCCACATTATTCTTTCTGCTTCAGTCTTCCTCCCCAGCCTCAGCCCACATCTCTCAAAGGTACCACCTCGTCTCCACCAGGCTAATTTCAATCAAAAGACTGAATCAAATGCCCTCTGTTTTCTCAAATCCCTTTTTAATCTTGAATTTCCCATTCCTCTCAGTGCAATACTTCCTACTGCTTCCTCTTCCACTGAGAAGGTTTAGTACTAGCACACTTTTTCTTTCAGCACCTCTGCATCTGCATACAAACCTTTGATCCAGTTAGAAACCTCTTTAGTCTTATCACCTAGAGCCTCTGGAGCTCTAATGTCCAGGCTTGAGTGTCCTCTGTAGGAGGCTCATGGGGATCTACAGCTGCCCTGATCTGCAAGATCCCCCCGATCTATAGCATGGGGAAGCTGTAGGCCAGTCTAACACTCTACCGACATACCTGTGTGGCAGCAGACTCCTTTCTCTTTCCTTTCTCTCAGCCTCCCTTTTTCAAGGAACTCTCAACCTTTTTCAGAAAGCCTTTCTGTGGTATTAGTTCATGAACCACCAACTTGACAGCTGGCAACTGGCCACAGATCTTCCTTCCCCCAATATTCCTTATGAAGATAAATTGTTTCTGATTAAAGACAGAAGGGTCTCATCAGATGTGCAGATTTGGGCACCATTGGTTCATCTCTTCAGACCTCATGTACTATTTATCCAACCTATCCTGTCGCTGAACTATAGCCTTGCACAGTCATGGTCAAAATTAAACCTCCAGCCACGTCACTAAGCAAAAATGAGCATTGTTGAACAGTATAAGGTAGATACCATTAACAGATGTACTATTTTTTCTTGGAAGGAGGCACACCAAACAGGTAACAGCCTTGAAGGTGATTGTGTGGCGGACCTGAGGTTGGCAGAGGTGCTCCCTGGACATGTTACTTACTCTGACTCCCTGAACATTTTTACACTGAAAAACATATTCAGTAAATGGTTTTGATTTTTAAAAATTCACTCAAAGGGAAAAAAGTTCTTTGTAATTGAATTGGAAAATGACAGTGCTCTTTAAAGTTTAAGAATAAAAGGACAAGGACTAAAACTTCATGTCCTAAAAGGGAGAATGGGGAGAAAATAGAGAGACTAGCTGAAGTATATTCCTGAGAAATCAAACAGTGGCTCCCATGCACACACACACATCCTCTGCTACCAGAGTTGCTATCTTCCACGATTTTCTACCAGTGCTAGAATAATCAATCCTTGCAAATACACAGTTATAGGGAAAAAAAGACATAAAATTGCATGTTTTAAGGCAAAATTCAAGCACTTTTTTACCTCCCTCTTAAAAGTTTTAGGCAGTTTGATTCTTTACTATTTCTACACACCCAAACTGGCAATTCATATGGAGGGAGACCAAACCTGAACCACACCTGCCCAAACACCTTCAGTGGGTTTAGAACAAGTGGGTAAAGATCCCTGGACACTGGTGGAATGTGATATTTCTCAGCCATGCAGAACAGCAAACAGGCTGTCATTCACTCAAAGTCTAGTGTCATTATTAAATATTATCTGTCCAAATTAAAAGTAATTCATAGAGATAAAAGAGCCACACATACCAAAAACTATCTAGGTGGGAGTGTGTGAAAGAGCAAAGTTCCTCATCTCATGGCCAGGAAGAAAAAAAGAAGAGAAGAAGGTGTAGTCCTACTATCCTCTACCAAGGCACTCTACTTGTGACCTACTACCTCCCACCAGACACTACCTTTTAATGTTGTCACCACCTCCCAATAGTGACATACTGGAAAACAAGCCTTTAACACATGGGTCTTTGGGGGGAACATTCCAGACCATCACATGGTAATAAATAAGCTAGTACACTATAGGCATCTATATAGTATCTGGCATCCAGAAAAACCCTTAAATAAACTTAGCTATTACTGTTGTTATTATTTAACTTTAGTAACCTTTCAGGGTTAAAAACTCAAATGATAGGGGCATATTGGTGCATGCCTGTAATCCCAGCTACTCAGGAGGCAGAGATAGGAGGAAGAAGCTAGCTGGGTAAAAGCATAAAACCCTATCTGAAAAACAACCTAAAGCGAAAAGGGCTAGAGGTGTGGCTCTAGTGGTAAAGGCCCTGAATTCAATCCCCAATACTGCCCCATACCTCCCAAAAAAAGTCAAATAATTTGATGGTTGTACCGCAGTTTGGAGAGGGAATACATGCTGCTACGAAGGACCCTCCAGTCTTCTCAGGCAGCTCTTTTATGTGCCCAGACAGTGTCCCTTACCAGCTCTTCATGTCAACTTGACAAACGGCTATTTGTCCTAAGAGCAAAACTGAGAATGAGGCTGTCCTGGGCATACTTCAACCAGGCCAACTGTTCATTAAATCCAGTGGATCCCTCAAACCTGGAAAAAAATCAGGGCCCTGTGATGAGATTGGGATTTATTCCCTTTAGGGATTTGCACTTTATTCAAAGAATTCCAGGATTTAATAAGTGGACAGTGGAGAGCTATCTCTTGCGTATCTACTTATAAAGTGGTAACAGAGAAACTCTAAACGTGTTGTAGTGTGTGGTCCTCCTGGCATGTGACAGTCTGAACCAAAGGGAAAAAAAAAGGAAATAAAAATCTGTATGTCTAGTACAAAGTGCAAACACTGACTTAGAAAAAAGAGATTTTGATTTTGATAACTCTTTATTCACTGGTATCAGAAACTAAATAGCTTTTGGAAGAAATTTGTAAAAGTAGCAAAGTATGACTGCCTCTCACCATAGATCTTGAATATTTGGAGAGCTCAACAAAACCACCCTGGACATCTCACTGGTCCCAATCCTCTGAGCTGTTGGGGGAAATAAGGGAGAGTCCATTCAGATTTGGACTCAGAGGGACTGGCTGTGTTCCGGCAGTGCTCATTAACCCGGCTCCTTTGGGTCTGTGTTGCAGGGATCATGTACCGCAAGTCGTGTGCGTCCTCAGCGGCCTGTCTCATCGCCTCTGCTGGGTACCAGTCTTTCTGCTCCCCAGGGAAACTGAACTCAGTGTGCATCAGCTGCTGCAATACCCCTCTTTGCAACGGGCCGAGGCCCAAGAAACGGGGCAGCTCTGCTTCGGCCCTCAGGCCAGGGCTCCCCACCACCATCCTGCTCCTCAAGTTAGCCCTGTCCTTGGCACACTGTTGAAGCTGAGGAAGATGCCACCCCCTCCTGCATTATTCTGGCCCTCGCTCTCCCACCTCTCCATGTTTTTCCTGGGTGTCCTCTTATCCTGGGTAGAGAGGAGAGACTTGTGTTCCTTTGCAAATAATGAAAGCGCTCCATGTAAAACACTTTTGTGAGCTCTGAATACATTCAGTCTGGCTGAATTTTCAGTGTGTATTGAACTTGAAGGAAGGGAAGGGAGTGGAGCAGCAGTCAGCACCCTTGTCTATGTAACCAGAGTCAAGGTCAGGCTAGCTGAATCAGCAATTAGAAGTCATGAAGGTGGGCACCTGCCCTTTCCAAAGTCCTCAGCTTCCATTCTGTCCCTGATGGGCTACAGTTTATTTCAGACTGCTGTGTGAGGGTAATGGTGCCTCTCTGGGGTAGGGGAGGGCGGGTCCCCACTCAAAGCTTGGAACTTGACAGTTCACACTTCGTGCTCCTGAAAACCATTCTCTGTGGCAGAATTGTTTGGTTTCATCTCTGAGTTGGGCTGTGATGACTCCAGACTCAATTGGTGGGGCTCAGACTCGGGCGAGGCCTGGCTCTGAAAAGTGCTTAAGAAAACCTTGTTAGTTCTCCTTGCAGAGGAATGGCGCTGGGAGGCCAAGAAGATCAGCGGACTGCGGGCCGAGCGGGCGCTGTCCGTGGTGGAGCTGAGGTGGGCACGCAGGCGCTTCTCTTGGTTCACGTGCTGCAGAGTCAGGTGACAACGCAGCACCTGCCCGAACACCCTGCGGAACTGCTGCGAGGACACGTTGTACAGGAGCGGGTTGACCACGGAGCTGAGGTAGAAGAAGGTATCTGAGAAGGGGAGGAGGATCATGTATGCTCGGAAGTAGGACTCGGTCCAGTCGTGCTTGGGTTTGGCTGCAGCCATGATCCTCCGAATCTGGTTTGGCATCCAGCATACGGCCAATGTCACAACGATCAGCCCTGAGCAGGCGAGAGCAGGAGAGAGAGAGGGAGCGGAGACAGCATGAGAACAAGAATTAAATAAATAAACCTAAAATATTTAGCCCCCTCAGTTCTCTGCTTACTGGCCAAGAAATGGTACCAATTTTTCAATGTTGTGCTTGACAGCTTCTTTTGCCACTAGCAAAAGAGAATTTAACGCTGTCTCAAGCTCAGGGGAGTTGGCTGTGTTAAAGACTGTAAATGCTTTAGACAGTGCATTTATACCTGTTGATGCCTGTTAATTTTAAAAATGCTTTCATTGTTGCTCGTGTATCCAGAAAACATTTTATGTTGTCCATAAATCTGATTTTGTCTTTTTTGTTGTGAAGAAACAGATGTATACATACAGTATAGCCATATTAGATGAAACACCGTTTGTATTTTGAAGAATGTCTGCACCGAGAAGACCCAGTGATATTTTTAAGTCAAATGGAAGTAGTTTCCCTTTGGTAACGAAGAAGCATTATTGAGTAACACTGATTTTGTATTCAGTTTCGGGGGAAGCAAAATCAGATAGCCTGTCACCAAGAATGCTTTGGGGACATGATGTCTTAGGCGTGGCTCACCTATAACCATAATGCTCCTATCTGAAATAGCACCTCTGCAGCTTTGCATTCTTTTAGAAACATCATCTCTTTCACCTTCATGTGGAAAAATATATCATCCAAAAGCACCACAAAATATAAAACTTGTTTCAAGTTCAGCTAGGAACATGCTCACTGAGTTTGTAGCACTGAACCATGCTATCAACAGCCCAGAAATGTCAAGGCCCCACAGAAGAGGTGCCACTCAGCGGCTCCCTGTGTGGACCATACGTTGGCAGCAGGTACCTTTGTTTTCATGCCCATGCGTTCTCATTCTGACCTACACAATCATCGTAATTCCTACAATTCTGATAAAGATGCTGTATAGAGCACAAACAAGCCAACATCACAGTGATAGTGAGACTTCATCTACAGTGACAAAACAACAAAAAAAGGAAGACTAGGGAATCTTTGGGATATTTGCTCTCTCTTTTCTTGAGCAGCTGAGAACCCAGAATGTGAGTGCCCATGAGGACAGCGGATATCTTAAAGCAATATTTACATTTTCAAGAAAGCATCCTCCCTCTATAAATTTGAGTCATAATATAATAAGAAGAAAAATTCATTCGTATTTTCAAACCTTCTGATTTTCTAGGAAACTACGCAGAAGTGATGTTGGCAGTAAATGCTTCCTGCTAATGATCGGTGACAAATATTTCGGTAGTAAATGCTCTAAGAAAAACACCCATGTTCCTGTATTCAGGTTTGCCCTCCCTGCACACACCTGCTTGAGCATCCCTTGCTTGGAGGTGGGGGGACCAGGGACCCTTGGTCTGTTTTTGCACACCAAAGTAACTCAGCTCCCCCAAGGACAAACCCTCCACAAAGCCCATCTATCAGCAAGGAGGGCCTGGAAAACTCTACTCCTTTGTTAATTTCTAAGGGTTCTTTCTGTCAAACCTCAGCCCAGGCTTTGAAATATAAACCAATTTGCTTATTTCTTTCCTTTGAATTTGCTACCCTGAGAACAGTCAGTAAGTCTAAAAATAAAATAGGCAAAGTAACATATTGATCTGATGAAAAAAAAATACTATCTCGAGTCAAGAGCAGATTCTGAAACACCTAGTTACAGTTGCTGCAAGAGGACAAACAAAAAAAACATTTTTCTGATTAAACATATACTTGCATAGGAAATTGGAAATTTTCCTTTTTCACTGCTTTGAGGAGCACGGTGCTCACAGCCATCCATGCTGTCAAAAAATTTGTTCTGAAGTTTCTGCTCCTTGTTTTCATCTCATGCAGTTCTGAGTGAGGGGCTCATCCCATTAATTGTGAAGGAGCCAGGAAGCCTACCATACCTGGCGAAGTGACATGTCTTTAGAGTTTCACAGAACAAGTATGACCTGTCACTGAATTTCATTTTCATCTGTGGATGTATGCCTCAGAATATGGAAATTGAGCATGCACACACACACACATACACACACACACAGTGTACATGTGTGTGATGCTAGGTTCCTTGGGTGGCAGAATCTAGGATAGTGATGATAACTTATCACAGGCAGAACACAGAACAGTTTTTAAAGACAATGGGCAAAGGTGATGAGAAGAGAAGACAGGTGCTAGGGCCAGAGGAGAGAAGTTATGAAATTGCTTTTCTTCTGCCCTGCATTTGTTTTTCCTTGATCTCTTGCTTACACAACTCTACTCTTTGCTTAGCTTCCCACATGTATTTGCCTGGCCTCAATTGTCCTTTGTTTATCATTTCATCAAAAGAAGTCTAGTAAAAAGCAAGACTCAGCATTCAAGTAGGAGAAAAGGACAGATCAAGAACTGACTTGGTTTGTAGTTTGTAGTTTAGATAGAATAGCAAGTACAAACACGGAAAATGTGGAATCTAAGAATCTGATTTAGAAATGGATTGAATTTAAAAATTACAATCAAGAGTAATGCTGAATAGCTGTGGGTTTTCTCTCTGCCAGGTTTTGTGCTAAGTGCTCTGTTTCCCATGAGTTTCTCCTGGCAACCTCGTGAGCTCTGACCTGGCAGGTCAAAATGGTTACTCTCTTCACTTAACAAATAAGAACAGTGAGGCTCACAAAATTCACAATACCTATTTTTTTTATTCAACATACAATGCTGCCAGTTTCTCAGGTTTTCAGTTTGAAAAATACAGAGACACAAGCAAGAAAGAAAACGTTAACTATGATCCATGAAATATAGAATGTCAACTGAAAATATAGAATGTAAGCCATATATTTCATTTAAAATTTTTGAGTAAAATGAGATAGGTGAAATCAATTTTAATAGTGTTGCTTAATTCAAAATAAGTGTAATACAATTTCATATACAATTTCAACATGGAATCAATATAAAAATTAATTGATGAGATGTTTTTACTTCTTTTTTCTTCCTAAGTCTTCAAAAGTCACTATGATTTTTACTTTTACAACACCTATCAGCTGGGACCAGACACATATGGCTAGTGACTGCCATGCCAGACAGCACAGAGGAAAACAGAATTTCCTAGGTTCTTCCCCAAATAGCAGGGCTCCCTGTTTCCTCCTCTTCCCATTCTCCCCTCCCAGACACATACAGAAAGTCATAAAAAACCAAGGAAGGGCTAAGGAATCTCCCAAATAGCCTATATTTGCAACATTGAAGCAACCAATGCTGAGTCCTGATTGGCTTTCTGAATATGGTTGTTTTTGTTTTGTTTTGCAGTACTAAGAAGTCTCTCTACCACTTGAGCCATGCCCCCTTCTGGGTCCTTTTGTGTTTAGTTTGTTTATTGGATAGGCTCTGTAGCTAACTTTGCAGGCTGGACTGGCCTTGAACCAAGATCCTCTTTCCTCTGTCTCCCAAGCAGCTGAGATTACAGATATGAACTACTACCATGTCTGGTTTGTTTTTGAGATAGGGTTTCACTAACTTTTGCATAGGCTGGCCTGGAACCAAGATCCTCCTATCTCAGCCTCACAGGTGGACTCTATGTTTTGTTGTTTCTTGGTACTGTTGGGGATTGGACCCAGGGCTTTGTACTGGCTAACTAAGTGCTATACCACTGAACTACATCCCTCAGCTCTATGTATTTTTGGTTATAATGTAGGACAAATTTATCCAGTCTTCATAGTAAACCTTCCCTAGAAGGGAAATCCATATCAACTAAAGTCTGAATTATTTTGAAATTACAAAGATGTATTTTGCATTTCTCATTCAAAACTTTGCATAGCCATTATGGAATAATGCGGATTGTGCCAGCTACCTGGCAAGGCTGTTGGAATATACTTTCCTCACCTCAACTTGAGGTGAGGAAAATGGCTGATTCCTTTCTTCCTGTGTTTTGGAAATTAATTTTGTTCTAGGAAAATGCAGCACTGGGTATACAGATACAGCCAATGACAAATGTGAACCATGTACCCATGGACAGAGAAATAGAGGTTAGTCTCAGCAGGGAAGGAACCCAGACTAGCCCCCTTGTGAAATTTTTCATTTTATGACAGGTAATTGCTCATTTTTACACTTTAAAAAAGTTCATTATTTTAGATGATACACTGTCGGGAATAAATATCATAGCCAAAGGTAACTTTCTATTCTGGCTGCTTGCAATTGGTTCAACTCTAGTCCTAGCTACTCTATAGCTAAGACAAAGCTTTAAAGTCTTATTCATGCCTTAATAGAGTGTATTAAAGATTTGACTAAATTTATGTTTGGCTGCAATCAACTTGGACTTGTGTATTACATTTGGAAAAAATCTATAGTGCTTTAGTCTCTGTGGTGCAACGTGCAGCCACAGTTAAATAACTTGAGTGTGAATTTGAATGAAGATCAGTGAGCTGAAAAGCAGGTAAACTGTTGTAAGTGGATTATTGATAGGTCTGTATCATATGCTGAACAGCCATGCACTCTGGGTTTTGAAATACCTTCCTATCTTATCTGTTTTTCCACATAATCTACTTTCATTTTTCCTCCTTGGTCACCACACTAAAACGACGAAAGCCATGAGATGGTGACAGGGATCCATCCTTGGCAGAGTAATGCTGCTTAGAAGCAGAAGCAATGTCGATGCACTGCAGCCTGGCATTTGCACAGCATCCGACTCAGCCTGCTTGGTTTAATTTTCAGAAGTACATTAAGTTCGATAGCCTGCAAGGTGGTAGCATTAGTTTATCGGATACTGCCCTCTGTTTTCTCCCCTCTGGACCTCTAAAAGAAAAGGCGTATGTACCCCAGAATTCATCTTAGAGTCTCAGAGAATGGAAAAGTAAGAAGAGACCGGCTCCTATCTCTCAGATGAGGAAACTAAGCAGGAGTCCTTCATCCTGCCTTGTTCCTCACAACATTGGATTCTATCCTAAGTTGCCAAGTGATTGACTGTAGTTTTGTGGGGTCTTTTTTTGTTTTTTCTAGTTTTAGGCTGAGGTGCTGACCACTCAGCATGGGATGCAGTGACAG